CTGCTGCTTCACTGAATAAGATTTATCCGTCGGATCACGCTTATTACGACCATTCCCTGTGCGTTTCTCTTGGTTTTATATGCTGTAAGTGAACAGTCTGATTTATAGTGTCGGTATCCACTAGTAGAACGAAGCTTGGGATTGGGCAAAATAACAAAAACAAAGAAAGCATGGATTATGGTGAAAAATGTGTATTGTTCCACATGTGAGCTGCGTTCTTTGTTTTATCTCACCATTCATTGTTTGTTCATCCACTCCCAGGCTTCGTTCTGCCTGTCGTGYGTTACCCGATTTATATCCCACTAATATATTGTTTCATATTTTCTTTCAAGGTGTCATCTTCAGATAGTTTATCCTGTAAGAGCGCCAAGCGCCGACTCCACAACCAGTCGGCAGCCGTCAAGAACATCATTATCATCACCATCACTTACGGACTGTGCTTCGTTCCTGGTATCATCTTCACTGCGGTCACCGAAGAAATCGAAATAGACAAAAACTATTGGAGTAACTTCATCATTCCATTGTGTGTCTTTTTCACCGGCGTTATTGACCCTATTGTCTTTATTTCGCGGTCTGAAACTCTAAAGAGAGCTCTTAAGAATATTTGCAGGAGTTCGGCAACTTTTAGTCAGGATGACTTCGTAGCAAACACCGTAGGGAATTTGAACTCGGAGGTGTCGCCAAGATATAACGTTCCTATGCAGGACCTGCCTAGTTGTAAAGTGCAGCCCTATGGTGCTAACGAACCAAGGGAGAAGTTGTTTCAGAAAACCTTTCACGTGGAAAACTTATTTACATTATAGCAAAAAAACGTTTTACGCCTGTACCACGGCGGTAAGATGAGCTTCAGACGGAACCGTACAATACTGACCTACGCAAGTACACGGTACGACATGCCTATAACATGAAATGCTTTCCACAAGAAAAGTTTCCGTATAATTGGGAAATATACAATACTGACTTGCAGCACGTATACGGGTACGACATGCCGTAAAAACTAGAGTGTTTTCGCATGAGTGGAATACGTAAGGTACTGACTTAAAGCACGCACACCGTAAGACATGCCGTACAAGTGGAGTGTTTTGGTATAAGTAGGCAACGTACGGTACTGGCTTACAGCACGTACACTGTACGACATGCCGTAACAACTAAAGTGTTTTGGTATAAGTAGGCAACGTACGGTACTGACTTACAGCACGTACACGGTACGACATACCGTAACAACTAGAGTGTTTTGGCATGAGTGGAAAACGTACGGTACTGACTTGCGGTACGACATGTTGTAACAACTAGAGTGTTGTAATATGAGCATATAGGAAACGTACGGTAATGACTCGCAGCACGTATACCTGTACGACATCCCGTAGCACTACAACACCCACAAGCTTTGACTAATAATTGATAAAACTATTATTTATTTATTTTTGGTTAAGATATATTTACATATATATATATATTAGGACATGATTGTGTATGTTCTTTTATTTTAGTACGTTTTGTGCAGTAACCTGTTAAAAACCACATTATGTGACATGTTTATAAAAGTAAAAAGAGAAAACAGGCAACTACTAACTGTTCCAGAAAATTGTAATTAACGTTTCGGCCATTCTGCCTTCTTCAGAAAAAATAAAGATTTATACAGAATAAAAAGTAAAAAAGTTAAGAATGAATAGCCAAACAACTAGTATAAAAAGGATATACGAAYAAAAGGATGATGTAACMAGTAAATACGGACGAAAAGCATGGACCACGGGCTACAACAATCTTTTGTAAGATATATACACTCAATAGCCCACTTCCGAGATACGCTTCGCTTCTCACGCACAGGGTTTCAGTATGAGGCTACGTGCTAAATGCTCAGTCATTCGTGACAGGCGGTAAGAATAAATTTAATTTAGCACGTAGCCTCATACTGAAACCTTTGTGCGTGACAAGCGAAGCATATCTCGGAAGTGGGCTATTGAAGAATCGTTGTCGGGTTCAGAAACATAGAACATAGAAGCTGAGACCGAAATGGCACATGGGAAGTACATTAACTAGATGCATGCTGTGACCGGCGACCCGTGGCATCATCCACTGTTTTTAATACGCGTTTGGCATTCTAAACCGACTGCATGGATGGCGCAAATGAATGAATTATAATATAATTATGTCATTTCCCTTGTGCCATTCGGTCTCAGCTTTCATGTAATTCTAAGTTTCTGAACCCGACAACTGAACCCGGTTACTGTTTAAAGAATAAAATCATTCTAAATGAATCCATTACCATTCTACATTTGAATCTCAATACTAGACAATGACAAGCAAACACTACTCTCGGCGGTGTTTATCATCCTTCCTCTTATATTCTAGTGGTTGTTTTCAACCATTCCCAAGAGGAGCAAAAGACAAAGACATGGTGGCCATGCTGGTGGACAGTTACGAAAGCACCTAATGACAAATCTTTGTTAATGTCCAAATGAGATTACGTAACGTGAAAACGAAGAATTGAAGAAATAGAAAACGCGCGCGCGTGCTGTGWGCTGTCATAAAGCACGCGGGGRTTGGCAGAACACGAGAGAAGTGTTAGGAGAAGCACGACGCGTAGCGGAGTGCTCCTGGACACTTCTCGAGTGTTCTGCCAATCCCCAAGTGCTTTATAACTGCACACAGCACAGCAAGCAAGTTTTTTATTTCTTTTATGAAATACAAATTACAATAATAGATAGGAATGACGCAACGGAAAGTGCGCGCGCGTGCAATGTGCTCTCATAAAGCACGCGCTCCAAACCAATCAGAACGCGACATTCATAACAGTTATGTTATAATTCTTCAATAAAGCATGCGAGGAAGTAAACCGCGGAATATAAGGCATTGTGGGATTGCGGGCGTTTACTGTATTTCATCCTAATCCATTCTTCTCTATTCTATTCTATTTTATCCTATCCTATCCTATCC